AGTAGGCCTCACAACATCAAGAGAGATCTGGGAATGCTTGAAATCAACCTTTGCCAGCCAGAATCATGCCAAGATCTTGCAATATAGATTGCAGCTGCAGACCATTAAAAAGGAAAACTTGCCCATGAAAGAATATCTCAACAAGATCAAAACATGTTGTGATCTTCTAGGATCTGCAGGAGAAAAGGTTAGTGAGAGAGATCATGTTCTTTATAGAATACAACCCAGTTCTTGTGTCCTTATCTACCAAGTTCCCACCTTGCACTGTAATGGAGGCATATTCAGTGTTGCTGAGTTTTGAAGCCAGGATTGAAGGCTCAAATAGCCAAAATGGTAACAACATAGATGGAAACAACAACTTTTCAGTGAATGTAGTCACTCAAGGGCAAGGAAACCGTGGGAACTTTAGAGGTAGAGGAAGAGGGAGAGGCAGATCTAATTTTATAGGAAGATGAAGGAGCTATGACAATGGAAAACCAAAATGTCAAATCTGCCATTACAGCAATCATACAGCAGAAAAATGTTATTTCAGAATAGATCTCAACTTTACTCCTAAGGACAGAGGCAACTACAACAACAGCTACAACAGCTCAAGCCAAAACCAAGGAAACAGTGGCCTAAATGTGAATGTAGCCCATCTGGAAAATGATTTTCAAGGATCATTTGATTCAAACAGCTGGTATCCAGACTCTGGTGCAACAAGCCATGTGACTTATGATTTCAACAACCTCAGCTCAGCTTCAGAATATCAAGGAAGAGAGAAAGTTCAAGTTGGCAATGGGACAGGTTTGAACATTTCTCATTATGGTAGCTCTATACTTCAGTCACCTTCAAAGGACATTTTCATTTTAAAAAATCTTCTTCATGTTCCTGAGATCACCAAAAACCTTATTAGTGTCAGTCAATTTGCCATGGATAACTATGTGTTTTTTGAATTCCATCCATCTATCTGTTTTGTGAAGGATCTATCAACAGACAAGATCCTGGTGCAAGGAACACTTGATCATGGTTTATATAAGTTCAACTTTTCCAAGAAAACCAAAGAACCTGCTTATCCTCAAGACTTTGCAGCTGCCAAGAATAAAAACCACCTTTCTGTTAATTCTCTTGTTACTGAAAAAGGAGATTCACTGAAACTTTGGCATGATAGGCTAGGACATCCCTCATTTGAAATTGTCAAAAGGGCACTTAATGATTGTAATATTTGCTTCAGTCTGAACTATGAAAATTCTCCTTGTGTTTCTTGTTTGCAAGCTAAATCCCATAAGCTTCCTTTTTATGCTTCTGATTATGTTTGTGATCCCTTTGAGCTTATACACACTGATCTTTGGGGGCCAGCACCATTAAAGTCTTTCAATGGTTTTAAATATTATGTAAATTTCATTGATCATGCTACTAGATATAGCTGGCTCTACCTCCTGAAAAATAAATCTGATACTGCTCA